GTGTGTGTATGTGTGTGTGTGTGTATGAGTGTGTGTATGAGTGTGTGTGTATGTGTGTATGAGTGTGTGTGTGTGTGTGTGTGGTGGTGGTGGGGGGGTGCTGGGGATGAAAGCCAGGGCCTCACACATGCTTGACAAGCATCCTATCACTGGTCTACCCCTCTAATTCTACAGATGTTTTAAACTACAATTTTAATTTCTTAGATACAAGGTTAGATTATCCATTTCTTCTTGAGAGAGCTTCAGTAACATGCACATTTTAGGAATTATGTCAAATTCTTCCATGTTATTGACTTTATGAGTATAAATGTATTTCTAAGTCATTTAAATCCTTTTATATCTGTAGGATCATTAGCTATGTCACCTTCCTCATGCCTTATGCCTTAGTTTGTGTTCTTTTTTCCCTTGATAAATCTGGCTGAAGGTTTTACTTATCTTTCTATCTTTCCATCCATCCATCTATCCATTCATCCATCCACTCACCTTTTCCAAAACCAAGCTTGTGCATCTAATGGGCTTCTTAAATTTTTTTTTGAATCTCACTTTGACTTTCATTATTCCTTTTCTTTCATTTACTTCTAATTTAATTTTCTTTCCAATTTCTTACAGGAAAATGAAATGAAATAGCTACTTTTGAGATCTTCTAAGACAGTCATTTAATGCTATAAATTTAGCTCTAAGAATTACTTTAGTAACTGTGTGCATGTAGCTCATGCTTGCAATCCTTGGTACTCAGGAGGATGAGATCTGAGGATCACAGTACAGAGCCAGCCTCAGAAAGAAAGTCTGTGACATTATCTCCAGTTAACCACCAAAAAGCAGGAAGTAGAGCTGTGGCTCAAGTGATAGTGCACTAGCTTTGAGCACAAAAGCTCAGGGATTTCAAGCCCTGATTTCAAGCCTTAGAACCAGCATGCACTTAGGCATCCATGCACACATGCACGCATGCACCCATGCTCACATGCACACACACACAAACTGATTTAGGGGTGATTTTTACTGTATGTATTATTATTACAGTGGCATGTCATTTTAAAACTTTTACTCAGGTTACATACCTGATTCTCTTTAGATGATTCTTTTTTTGGGGCGGGGGCAGTCGTGGGGCCTAGGCCTGGGCGCTGTCCCTCAGCTCTTCAGCTCAAGGCTAGCGCTCTACCACTTGAGCCCCAGCACCACTTCCAGCTTTTTTCTTTTTGCTTATGTGGTGCTGAGGAATCGAATCCAGGGCCTCAGGCATGCAAGGTAAGCGCTCTACCACTAAGCCACCTTCCCAGCCCCTAGATGATTCTTTAACCTATGAATTATCAAGTTACATAGTTACCAAATATTTCAGGAACTTTCAAGGATGTTATTGACTTTTAGTATAGTTTTATTACTACCAGAAATCACATACAATGAATCTTCTCAAATCTGAAATTATTGAATAGGCCTGTTCTGCCTACACACATATTCCACATTCACTTGAGAAAGATGGTTGTAGGGTAGAATATTTATATAGGTTAATAGTGTTGCTCATGTTGGCTATATTTTTGCTTATTTTCTGCCTATTTACCCATACAGAGAGAGACATTAAGTCTGATACTGTGTACTTCTCCTTACAGTTTTGAAGTTTGTTTTTTTACTAGTTGACTATAAAGACAAACTTCTTCAATATCTTCTTTTTTTTTTTGGGGGGGGGGTCCGGTCGTGGGGCCTGAACTCTGAGCCTGGGCGCTGTCCCTCAACTCTTCAGCTCAAGGATAGTGCTCTACTACTTGAGCCACAGCGCCACTTCCGGCTTTTTTCTTTTTGCTTATGTGGTGCTGAGGAATCGAACCCAGGGCCTCAGGCATGCAAGGCAAGTGCTCTACCACTGAGCCACCTTCCCAGCCCTTCTTCAATGTCTTCTGTCCACTGTTTCTGACATCTCTTGCCTACTTTATGTGCTTTATAATATTTTTTTTAAACTATGACATTAGATTCCAGAACCTTCTGAGTTCCCTCAAAACAAGAGGAACTTGTACACATGCACACTTACATTTCTGCCCAACTTCAGAACAATATTTTCCTTTAGCACAGGCAGTCTTCCCTGCTGCTCCAGAAGCCGAGGGGATAAGGATGCAAGGGAACAGATAGCTCCATTCACAGTTTGCCCTGGTGCTAAGTCTATGCTTTGGGGGAGTCTCAACTTTATGTCTCCCTCCTGGTTCTTCTACCCTGTCAGGACCTAAGTTTTCTTGGCTTCTCTGCTGCTCCCTCCTCACCCGAGGCTGTCAAAAGAAAAGCCCAGTTTCATATTCTTCTGGATTTTGGCTTCATAGACTTTTTTTGCTTCTCTTTTTGAAAACAACTTTCAATTTCTGGATACATTTAAAATATCTTCTTTTCCCTGTGTATTGTGACAGCTGTTTTTTCATGGGCTCCTATCAGCCACATTGCTAGAAATAAAATGGAACTTGTTGGTTAACAATTCCAAGTTCCCACAGGTCCCTCCCTGATCCAGAGGCAATAAACACAGTGAGCACAGCTGATGAGGACTCAGGCTGGCCTGACATCCAGGCTCATCTACTAGCAGGGTAAACTCAGCAGCTTCCTTACCATCCTGTGCCTCAGTTTCCTCATAGGGTTGAATAGAAATTGAGGAGGGAATCCATGAAGAGCCTTACCACAAGGACAGGTCTTGGGAAGGGTCGTAAAGGTCTTCTCATTGCTTGATGAAAGCTGCAGTGAGCAATAGCAACCCTTACTCAATGGTCCCCTCATTCCAGCCGCCATGACAGCACAGTGAGCACACTCTGTGCTTGCAGTGACAGAGGGAATGAGTGACCAGCCAGTCACTGAGCATGCACTCCACTGCCACATGGATAGGCTGTGCAGGCCAGAATGCAAGCAAATGCGGAGCTGAGGAACATCGTCAGTGCACAGGCCCACACACACAATGAAGAAACCAGAAAACAAGAGTAACTATAAATAACTTTGTATTGCATGGGAGGACTGTCATCAAGTGTCCCAACAGCCATCTGAAGCCAGTAGTCCTGGTTATCAAAATCACAAAGTTGTATGTATGTTCACCTCCTTTTTGAAAATCATGTTCATTCTCTCTCCAGGAACAGGGCTGTCTGCAAAGCCTTGAACTGACAAGGTAATCCACGGGGCAGCTTCGGTTCATTGAAGTAATGACTGAAAAAGACAGATCATCCTTAAAAAATGGGAGATGGAGGAATGTCCATACTTACATTTAAAAAAATATATTCTGGAAGTTCTAATGATCTTAAATTTCAGCATTAACTTATACAAACTAGCAGGTGCAGAGTAAGTTCCTGATGCTATATTGTATATAAAGATCAACATGCTAGGGGCTGGGAAGGTGGCTCAGTAGTAGAGCACTTGCCTTGGATGCATGAGGCCCTGGGTTCGATTCCTCAGTCCCACATGAGCAGAAGAAAAAGAAGTGGCGCTGTGGCTCAAGTGGTGGAGTGTTAGCCTTGAGCTGAAGAGCTGAGGGACAGCACCCAGGTCCAGAGTTCAGGCCGCATAACCAACAAAACACACACACACACACACATACACACACACACACACACCTAACAAAAGTCACAGTTCTCCCCCTAACTCTGGAACATGTCTGAAGACTCAAAGAACCATGTTAGGGATTTAACTCAGGGCAGAATACTTGCCTAGTGTGTGCAAGGTTTGGGCTTGAAACCAACAATGAAAAAAGAACCCAAACTATAAAACCCTACACAGTGTATAAAGATGTTTCCCTCCCAGTAAGAGTAATGTTTTCAGTCTGATTAGGGAAACGTCACAGAGTAAGTCATCAAATTCATCAAAAACTGTCCTTCTTATTGTAGAAAACCAAAGTATTAAGCTAATAAATTGTAAACAAAAAAAAGTATTAGGTTCAAAAGAGTAAAACGTCCCAGGCACAAGTGTCTCAAATTTGTAATACTAGTGACTCAAGAGACTGAGATCTGAAGGAATAAAGTTTGAAGCCAGCCTGAGCAGAAAAGTTGACAAGACTCCATTCACATGAACAAGCCAAAATTTGTACTAGAGGCATGGCACAGTGGTAATGTGACAAACTGAAGAACATGAGTTCAAACCACACTAGTGACTGACACAGAGGTAGGGAGAACACTGAAGGTTTAATATGAAGATATTTTAAAAGAAAGGACAGAGAAAATGATAAACAGGATAATTCTCTGTCTTCACATTACATTCAATGGACATAATTTATTTATATATGACCTTCCCAGATGGCAAAAACAAAAAGGAAAAAATAAAACCCTAGCACTTGAATTTAATACTTAGCATAATGTTAGTGCTTAGTGACTCAAAGAATTTCAGTGCTGGAACACATCTTAGGTATGTTTGGGCTGATCAACTCTCTTCTACCCTATTTCTGTCCATTTCAGATTAAACATTTTATACATCTCCAGTACTAAAAGTTATATGTAATTCATCCCACAGAATTCTGCTCTGTTTTTGAGTGACATTCTAATTTTGATTGCATCAAAATGGCTCAGGTTGGAGAAGCAGGAGAGAGTGGTTTGTCTGCTCTGAGCCTCTGCCTCCATCTCATTAGGAGAGGTGACTTATTCTAGCACATTCTTCAGCAAAGATGACTAACCCAAATGAAACATAACATTTCTATGCTTGATCCCAAGTTAAGTAAAGGGGCCTGCCTTGTGCTCAGCATGCCACCATAACACCAACACAAAGTAAAAAAGGTGCTTACCACAGCTGTTCCAGCAGGACACAGATCTTCTCTGGAAGGATGAGGCCAGTGATTGCACACAAGCAAGCCCTGGCCACCACTGTGCTTGGCTGGCGACAGCAGTAGGTTGACAGGAAATTATGAGGCTCGTTATTTCTATCACAAAGAAAAAAAAGAGAAGATACTCAAAACTACTGTGGAATCACATCCTAAGGAGTACATGTCTATTAAAATAAAACAGGAAAAGAATAAATAAAACAGTAGGCCACAGCCCTGCTCAATTCCCAAGTATAGATACCTGCAGGTCTGCATTACAGAAGACTGCACCCAATCAGTCAAAGAGTTCTGGGCACCGCAGGATGACTCTGGCTCGCTCTCTCTCCCTTGAGCTCACTGCTCTGCAGCACCAGACACTGCAAATTGTTCACTGTGCTCAGCTCTACTTTAGGATGATGTTTCTGAATTTGGTCTTTGGAAAAGGAAGACATCATTCTTGACTCTGCTGTCCTTCAAACACACATATACAAGACTGTGTGAACATCACAAACAACTCTAGTGAATCCCCAGAAGTAACTCCATTCCTTTCAGAACCACAGGAACCTGGTGGAATTAACACAGCAGGTGTGCAAAACTGTGTTCAACTTAGATGATTAAATCTGCTATCTGCTGCTTGTGCCACACTTTTGTAAACACTCACCTTCTCTGATGCTTTCCTGGAAACACACAGTGCTTTCAGACCTGCTCTGTATTACTTTCACTTGCTCCAAGAACATTTCAACTCTATATACAAAACCCAAGTGTATGAACATCAGTGAACTACAATATGATCTATACAGGAAACACAAGAAGCAGTGAATGACAGCTTCCCACTGAAAGATCAGGAACACTTGTGTTTCTTTTCAGCCATGGCTGTGCAGGCAGCAACCTTGGGAGGTAAGAATAGGGCCCTTCACAGGACAGGGCAGGTCTGCTTACTGCCCAGTGTCACAGAAGCACGCTCCCTGCCCAGTAGAAAGCTTCTTGGGTTTTAGGTTCCATTCCATGATGGAACCTTCTGTGTGTGCCAGCATCATTGGCCAATTTTGTGTCATTGTGGGAACTGGAACTTGGTGAACTGCTGCAAATGCCAACTCTCATGTGACGGTGAATTTCAGGAGTCACATTAAATGGAGAACAGGTAAAGCACTGCCTTTGGGTGTGTGTGAGGGTATCCACACACTGCCATGGCAGTGGGAGGACTGCCCTTGACGGAGGTGTGCATCATCTGGCTGGCTGGGGGCCCAGGACAAGCAAAGGGGCAGTAGAAAGGGAAATTTGATCTCTGTTCTGGAGATGGTACATTCTGGAGTACACAAAGTCCTTCTACGATTAACTAAGAAAGGGTAACCAAGCATGAATATAACCTTGATATAACTCCAGACAAGTCCAACTTCTCAGGCCTTGGGACTCCAGGACTTATACCCATGGTTCCCTAAGTTCTCAGACCTGTGGCCTTGGATTGAGGAACACTAACAGCTTGCCTGGTTCTGAGGCCTCCGGACTTGGGTGGGCATTTCCAGCTTACAGATGGCTGTGACAGACTTCTCAGCCTCCACACTGTATAATCGGTTTCTCCTGATGAGTTCATCTGTGTCTGCCTGTCTCTCTTCCCTACAGTGACTGCTATACACTATGGCGACTGTTCCTATTGTTAGGAATGAAATCCCTTGTCTTGGACAGGAGTTGCTACTTTATTAGCTGGCAGACTGAATCTCAGACTCCACACAGATCCTGAAAAGCTCTGAAAGCAGTCAGCACCCTTAGGAGCAGAAAGCCACATAAACCCCACTGCAGGGAAGACTTCAAGTGACTGTGACTTCTGTAAATCTCTCCCCCTTCTGCCTACCACCTGCTTCACAAAGAGACAAGGATCTTTACAGAACTAGGATTCAGGAAAGCAACCTTATTTGGCTGTGACCAGAAGTCTCCATAAGGAGCAGAAGGATGTGCACATCTCCACAGTGGACCCACCTGCTTCCCCACCCCCAAAAGAGCACTGCACCATTATACTTCCTCATGCCTGGGCCAGTAGAACTGTGTAACTGACCAGCAACACAATGCTTGGATAGGAGCAATGGTAAGCAGATCAACAAACTTAATGAACATCATCTTCTAAATTAAATTTAGTGTTGTAGTCAAGTACAAGGTACAAATTTGAAATGATTATTAATAATACACATGTGTTACTGCCTACTAGCAATGAGCAAATAGATCACAGATGTCTGTATAACTAGGGGTCATGTGACCCCTAGTTACATTCTAGCCAAGACTACATTCTAGGGTCACATTCTGGCCTAGACTGCAAAGTGAGCTGGAGGAAAGGAAGGGAAGAAAAGGAGAAAGCTGCCTGCTCTGTCCCAGGATCTCTGAATCCATAGAGAACCCACAAAGATTTAGGCAAATGGTTTCAGATCTAGCTTATTCTGAACCAGGGTTCTCAGCCGAAGAGAAGGGCTGAAGCAGCTTTTTAAATAATGTTTGAAAAATATTATCTTCAGTAAAGTGATGAATTAAAAATCATCATCGAGTAATTAGCTTTCAAAATCTCAGTTCAAAGCCAGCTCTGGCAGGATAGTCTGAGACTCTTTTTTTTTTTTTTGGTCCGGTCGGGGGGCCTGAACTCAGCCTGGGCGCTGTCCCTCAGCTCTTCAGCTCAAGGCTAGCACTCTACCACTTGAGCCACAGCACCACTTTCGGCTTTTTTTTTTCCTGCTTATGTGGTGCTGAGGAATCGAACTCAGGGCCTCATGCATGCAAGGCAAGCACTCTACCACTGAGCCACCTTCCCAGCCCTAGTCTGAGACTCTTATCTCCAATTAACCACCAGAAAACAGAAGGTGGTGCTGTGGTCAAGTGGAAGAGAGCTCACCTTGAGCTAAAGAGCTCAAGGACAGCACCCATGACTGACCAAAAAACAACAACAAAAAAAAGTCTCATGGACTTTCCTGCCCATGTTGCCTTTGAACTACAATCCTCAGATCTCAGCCTCTTAAGTAGCTGAGATTACAGGCATGTGCCACCAGCACCTGGTTGCTTTAGTTGTTTTTTAGATAAGATCTTGCTTCTTGTTCAGCCTTGGACAATGATCCTTCTATGTATGAATCCTGGGTAGTTGAGTTTATTGACATGAACCACATCAGTTTATTGAGATGAGACTCTCACTAACTTTTATGCATGCTGGACTCAAATCTTAAACCTCTCCATCTCTACCTCCTCGGTAGCTGAGATTATAGGTATGCTTTAATATAACTGGCCCTCAACTATCTTTCAAACATTAAAAACTGTAAGTTACAATCAGGTGTGGTAGCACATGTCTATTAGTCCAGCACGATAGAAGTTAAGCCACGAGATCTGGAGTTCAAGCCAGTTGAAGTCAGTTCCAGACTTGCCTGGCCTATATGGTAAGACCCTGTCTCAAAAACGAATAAATAAAATAGAAATTGTGAGAACTCTATATACTGATATGGAAAGACAGCTATGATGTGTAACTCAGGGAAAAAGAACATTGAAAACCAATGTAGCACAATGTAATTCATGTATAAAAACATTTATACATGTTGATAAAATCATTGCTGGAAGAATTAATGTCCAACTGTTCCTTCTAAGAATGGAAGTAAGTCAGGAGGAACTAGAGACCATCCATCACTGTATTCTGTATAGCTCTGTATGGTTGGATCTTTTTTAAAAACTTATTTTTATTTTTGTTAGACAATTCTACAAAGGAGTTATCATTCAACAAAACAGCTCATAAGTGCAATGCATCTTGATCAACAGCATCCCATTTATTCTCTTCTTCCCTCTCAACCCAACTTCTCACTTAGGTAATTTCTTTTTTTTTTTTTTTTTTTTGGGTCCGGTCGTGGGGCCTGAACTCTGGGCCTGGGCACTGTCCCTCAGCTCTTCAGCTCAAGGCTAGCGCTCTACCACTTGAGCTACAGCACCACTTCCGGCTTTTTTCTTTTTGCTTATGTGGTGCTGAGGAATCGAACCCAGGGCCTCAGGCATGCAAGGCAAGCGCTCTACCACTGAGCCACCTTCCCAGCCCCATCACTTAGGTAATTTCATATGATATGCATTGAATACTGTAATACATTGTACCCCTCCTTTTTTTTCTAAGGAGTTACACTGCTGGAATGAATTCTCCCCTGCAAATAGCACACTTCAGCTAATGTATACTTGCATACATCTCCACTTGTGTGTATTTGTAACATTTCTAAATTAGTCCTAGCTTCCACATAGAAGATAAACCATGTATACTTTGTCTCTCTTGGACTGACTTACTTCACTTAATTCTTTTCCAGGTCTACCCGTTTCTCTGCAAGTGATATAATATCATTCTTAAAATGCCCTTGTGTATATAGACCACATTTTCTGGATCAGCTTATCCACTGAGGGGCATCTTGGCTGATGCCATCCCTTGACTATGTTGCACAGAACAGCAATGAACATGATTATGTAAGTGGCTTTACTATATTCACATTTGTAATCTTTTGGATAAATTCCAAAGAGTGGTATTGTTGGTATTACAGAATTCATTTCTTTTATAACAAAACAGAAAAAGAAAACAATTACCATTGGGTAGCAGACCAACAGTGTTATCTTCATCAATATATGTATTGAACGTCAGTGCATAGCAGGAACCTATAAGAGAAAGTTAAGAGGAACAATTAAAACACAGAAGACATCACAAGTTAATGCATTAATTTCATGAGGACAGATCTTCCATCCACCACACCCCACGTAACTCAGTGACCAACACATGCAAGGGAAGCTGGAAGACATGGAAGGCTGAGCTCCAGCCAGCTCACTCCCCTCCATCAAGTTTTTTATCCTCAGGCAGAAAAATAACGTAGCATGGAACTTAAGTCTCCACAGGTGGTAGCAGAAAGGCACCAAGAAAAAGAGCAGGTACTCCTCAGAACAGTTCTAGGCTAATAATCAAAAGCTACTCAGCCTTTCTTCATATGTTACACAGGACTCAGGGGCCTACCTCTCAGATGTAGGATGAGAGATATTTTAAAATGCCTGTCATAAAGTGTTCATGCCATTAACAAAACAACCTCAGACTTTACAGGGAAAATGCTGATATAAACAGATGATATGTCCAGCTTTACATGTAGCCCCAGAGTGAGCAGTGTTACAGTAACCAAACTTCACAAACATGCAGCTACAACAGTGAAGGTCCATAGTCCATCCTTAGTGAATGGCTTCTGACAGGAGGGTGGAATCCCTACAGACACTCTGAAATACAACTTCAAACGATTACTCCAAGAGAACAACTGAAACAAACTAGTCGGTACCGCACATACAATTAGGACTGAGGGAAACAGAACAAGATCAGGGACACAAAATCTAAGAAGACATTCAGGAGAGTGCAATCAGAAACTACCACATAACAGGACTGCAGCAAATGGCAGGATAGGGAAAATGAAGGACACAGAGTGAAACACACAGGACTACAGATCCTTTCCAAACAAGAGTGTTAGCACGGGTGGTTCATGACTATTATCCTACCTACTCAAAAGACTGCTGTCACAGTTCAAAGGATCACAGTGCAAAGCCACTCCAGTCATTGAGGTTTGGCTCAAGTGGTACAGTGCCAGTGGAAGCAGCTCAGAAACAGCCCCAGTCAGTGATTTCAAGCCTGGTACAGGCACAAAAAACAAACACAATGATACAAAAAAATACAGCCCAAATAACATGCTACAGTCTCCTTGTAGTTCCTCTCTTGCCTTGTTTATTATGTGGCATCATGGGTTGTTTTTTTACCTTTCCTTACAAAAGTGTTAATGAATTCATGTGTATTTAATTTCTGAAGAGGTAAATTCTTCACACAATAATTGGGTCCAGTTTCCTTGACGAGGCTTTTCAGTTGTTTGGGTAGTATCTCACATTCAGGAATGAGAAATGATACCTATTGCAATGCATAATACAACATAAAGATTAACAGATTTTTGGGGAGTGTTGCTCACTATTTCTTCATGAGTGTTGCTGGAAATATGTGTGTGGGGGTGGGTGGTAGTGAGATACACACACACATATAGGCAACAAACCTCTTCACTTAACAGACTAACCTCAGGCAAAGAGAAATTTAACAACTGAAATTGTTCAGTTCTGCATGGCAACCTAAAGTACAGGAGAGATGGAAAGATCATGCTTGCATTTTACCTTTTGCACATGAGCAATATACTTCAGGTTCTGTTTCTCTTGCTACTTTGTTTTCAAAGAAATACAATGGAAGAGATTATTGCAGGTTTACCCTGGAGTCCAAGGAGCACAGGGAATTTAGGAACTCTCAATTATTAATACGCTCCTCAGAGAGCAAAGGGCTCCTGCAGGGTTCAATGTTCTAGAGATGCCACAGGTCAGCCCAGACCTTTTAGGGCAAACACAACTTGACCTACTGACTGAGATGAGCTTTACAAGCAAACCAACAACGTGAAATACCAGCAGATTCCAGCTGTTGCTCAAGTGCTCACATTGAGGCCCAGCCTTAAAGCTCCAACACCAATACCAACGTGTTTCTGAGGGAGCGGGTTAGTTAATGTCTGGGAGATATCAAACTAACCAATTTCAAATATAAAATGCTTAAACTCGTGCCATCTTAGTTAGGTTTGGGGAATTTCTCGATTATCAAATCGGCTCCCATCAAGGGTTAGCAAAGCAGGTGGCTTCTTGAGCCAGGGCAGCTCGAGGGGCTGGGAAGAGGCAGGGGTACAGAGGGCTGTACAGAGCTGGCCACAGAGGGAACCGGGCTGTGGAAGGACACTGCGGCGGGAAGGAGGAACGAGACACCAGCCGATTTCATGTGGACAGCTGCACCTCAGGACAGGCACAGCTGCCCAACTGCCCCGACCCCGCCCAGCCCCTCACAAGGCTCTCAGAAACAATATTCCAGCTGCTGGGACCCGTTAGAAGTTAAGCAATGCTTTGGACAACAACAACCAGGCTCTGCGGGGTCCTACCCTCAAAGGAGCCCTGCCAGCATGGCATCCTGGAAGTTGTAGTCCTGCACTGCAGAGCTCTACGGGGCCAGAGCACCGCGGAGACTACAACTCCCAGTATGCCTAGAGATGGCCCGCCCCTCCCCGACTGGGAAACTACCGCCACGCGAAGCGTCCTGAGACCTTTCCCCAAACCCTGTCGCGGCCTTAGCGTGCACGGAGGACACCGGCTCACCCGGTAATTGTGATAGTGCGCCTCCACTAGATGCCGGTGGCGTGACGTGTGGTGGCTGAAGTCGGATCTCTCGCAGACTAGCTAAGTGCCGGGGCGCCTCTCCAAGCCTTCGCAGCGTGGCCATAGTCTCCACCACTCCTGGACAGCGCTCAGCGCCAACTCTCGGGCTCCTCCCTTTTTCCTCTTCCCGCCCCTTAGCCACGCCCATGGGTCCCTAAGCCAATCAGTCACCGGCGCCGCCTTTCTGCCTCTCCCACCCAGGCCACCCTGACCTTGCGCAGTGCTGCCTCCGGACGACTGTCCTGGGCCCCTGCAAAGTTGAATGCTGGGGAAGCATCCGTGCGGGAAGCTCCCTGTTGGTGTCTGCAGCCGTCAATCCACTCATGGAGAAGCACCTTTCTGGCTCGCGCAAAGCTGGTACGAACCTTTTCAAGGTCGCATTACCTGTCTCCCCTCCGTCTCTCAGTTCTTTAGGATCCCTGGGCTGGTGGCTGAGCTGCTCCTGTTCGTTTGGGACCCCCTGCCCTCTCCTCCCTCCGCCATGATTGTAAAAGGGATGTTTTGGAAAGTTCCAACACAGCCGAAAATTCAGCCAAACCGTTCAGCGGTCGCAACACAGCTTGGGTGTACTTTTCTGACTCCACGTGGTCTGCTTCTGCAAGATTTTCTTGTTATCCTGAAAGTCAAAGAAGTTTGGGAAGGAAAATAATACATGAGTTTCGCATTTTGGCCCTGAAATAAACCTCATTTAGAACTACTTTAAAAAATTTATCGCAGCCGGGTGCTGTGGTTGTCACCTGTAATCCTAGCTACTCAAGAGGCTGAGATCTGAGGGTTGCGGTTCAAAGCCAGTCCCGGCAGGAAAGGCCATGAGACTCTTAGCCATTCAACCCCCAGAAAACCAGAAGTCGCACTGTGGCTCAAAGTGGTAGAGTTAGCCTTGAATTGAACAGCTCAGGGACAACGCCCAGGCCCTGAGTTCAAGCCCCTGCACCGAAAAAGATAAAATTATTGCAATGAGAAATTTCTTGTCGTTTTTCAAATTTTTAAATAAGTGCCAAGTATAACAACACTACATGCTTCTTAAACCAGATAGTTCATAGTTCCAATTCTGCACAGCGAGTTTGCAATTAAGAGTACTAATGAAACCCCGAGCTTGCAGCAGTCTACAAAAGTGGGAGAAATGAAACTAATGAAGTAATTTACAAGGCAAATAATAAAAATATGGAAAACTGGAAGCTATCTATAAAAATATGTATAATTGTATTTTTATTATTAAGATCGTTTACGAAGGGGTTACCATTGCAGAAGTCAAGTAATGAGCACATTTCTCTTTTGGACAATGTCAACCTTCCTTCACTTCATGCAGGTTCCTGTATCCCCCTACAATTCTTGTACACAAGTTACATAGCTCCTTTTCCCACATAGTGTAAACTGAAAACATGATTGCATTTCTTTTTTTAATAAGGTTTTTATTGTGAAAATACCGTACAGAGGGGTTACAATTACATGAGCAAGGTAATGAGTACATTTCTTATCAAGCATTGTTGCCTCCTCCTTTGTTATTCCCCTACCATCCCTGCCCTCCCATCTCCATGACTACACTCCCCCCACTACCAAAGTTGTAAAGTTCGTTTTTCAACATAGCATTTTATATATATCTCATTGTTGCAATGGGTCCACCTGTATCCCTATTTAAACAATTTGGGTTTTTTTTTTTTGTGGGGTCCGGTCGTGGGGCCTGAACTCTGGGCCTGGGCGCTATCCCTCAGCTCTTCAACTCAAGGCTAGCGCTCTACCACTTAAGCCACAGCGCCACTTCCGGCTTTTTTCTTTTTGCTTATGTGGTGCTGAGGAATCGAACCCAGGGCCTCATGCATGCAAAGCAAGTGCTCTACCACTGAGCCACCTTCCCAGCCCCAACAATTTGTTTTTTTTTTCTTCCCCTCCCCAAATTATACCAACATCAAATACAGTAAAAACAGGGGTTATACTGTGGGGGAGGGACATACAAAGCCACAAAACAATCACCTTATAAACATGTTAGAAACAATAGCAAGCAAGAAAAAAAAACACTGTGTCCTTATCTTGGGGTTCATTTCACCTAACATCAACTTATCTGACTTTTTCTGCTTGTCCCAGACATATACTAGTTATTGCAAATGAGGGAAACTATGAGACTTATGTTTCTTTGGGCCTGGCTTACTTCACTTAATATAATTTTTTCCAAGTCTTCCATTTCCTAACAAATGGAGCAATGTCATTCTTTCTGATGGAGGCATAGAATTCCATTGTGTATATATACCACATTTTCTTGATCCATTCATCTACTGAGGGGCATCTGGGCTGGTTTCATATTTTAGCTATGGTAAATAATGCTGCAATAAACATAGTTGTGCTGGTAGCTTTAGTGTGGTCTTGTTTGTGAACATTTGGGTAAATGCCCAAAAGTGGGATTGCTGGGTCATAGGGGAGCTCTGTGTGGAGTCTTTTGAGGAACCTCCACATGATTGCATTTCTTCATCCTTCTTTTCTCCCTTTCTGTGCCTACCTTTGCCTCCCTAAACAGAAAAATAAAACACAACAAATATGAACAACAACAATAAAAAACTGCTATGGGTTTGTGTTTGTGTGTGTGTGTGTGTTGTTGTTGTTGTTGTTGTTGTTTTGGAATGTCCTGGGCCTCGGTGCTTTCTCTGAGTTCCTTTATGCTCAAGGCTATGGCTCTACCACTTGAGTCATAGCACCACTTCCCAAACCCCATGTTTTCATTTCTTGAATTTCATTTTGATGACTAATACTTTAAATGTTCAGATGAGTTATTCCTTTGAGTTATTCTCCTGAAACTATCTTCCTTTACTCAGACTATGTGTGAATCCCTGAAGTTCTACATAGGTTATCATGTCCAGTTATATTTTACATCTACCTTCCACATGAGAAAGAAAATATGAGCTGTGTTTCTTTCTTGGCTTATCTCACTTAACATGACTTATTCTAGTTCTATCCATTTCCCTGTAAGTGACATAATCTTATTCTTTCTAATTGATGAGTAAAATTCCATTGTGTATAGTACCACTTTTTTTTTTGGGGGGGGGGTCTGGTCGTGGGGCCTGAACTCTGGGCCTGCGCGCTGTCCCTCAACTCTTCAGCTCAAGGCTAGCACTCTACCACTTGAGCCACAGCGCCACTTCCGGCTTTTTTCTTTTTGCTTATGTGGTGCTGAGGAATCAAACCCAGGGCTTCATGCATGCAAGGCAAGCGCTCTACCACTGAACCACCTTCCCAGCCCAGTACCACTCTTTTTTTATCCACTTATCTAGGAAACAAGTCACCTTTTCACATTATGAGAAGCAATGGCCATGAAAAAAAGTCAGGGGGCGGGGGTACATATAAACTCAAGTGAATCCCAAGCAGGTTAGATGAGGGAAAAGGAAGCATGGGAAATTGCAGCCAGGAATCGGATATAGGCACTGAATCAATAAGTAGCTCTATTAGAAACACACAGGCACTATTTTCTTTGCTTAAAGCATTATGTCATCTCCTAAGATACATTATTAGTAAAGAGAGGAGAAAAAAAGGAAAAAGAGCAGGCCTCTCCCTCTGAACTTGCTTCCTTGCCAAAAATAGTGTGCTCTGGAAACTAAGGATATATGAAAGAAAGAAAGAAACTGGGGGAAAAAAACACTCAGAAATAGAACTTTTCTGGACATAAGATTTTTTTAAAATAATTATAGATGGACACCTATCTTGAAAGGAAGGTGTTTGAAGGGATTCCCAGATATCAATGACAAAAGTGAAATGAGCAGACCAACCTTTTCAAGTCCAGCCCCAACTGATAAAACAGTAACAGCAAGATTGAGAGGATGTACCAAGGGAACCAAGGGAAATATTCATCCTCCAGTGAACCTAAGAAATCCCCCACCCTACTATTAATAGATGTGATGTTAACTACTCATCGCATCTGCTATCCAATGTGACACACCCACATTTGGATGTATACTATCTATCTTTCCTTCACTTTGCTTTACCAGGAAACTTTCTTGATCTTTACCTTGTTGTGTCCTCAAGTAGTTTTTTAAAACAATATCAAGAACTCAGTACCCAATGGCCAGGCAGAGGCCTTTTCCCTTTTAGAGACCTCCTCCCAGAAGTGGTGCCTGTTAGCAAGCTGGCATCAAAGTGCACAGAAAGACAAATACTGCCAGGTGCTGATGGCTCATGCCTGTAGTCCTAGCAACTCCAGAGGCTGAGATCTGAGGATTGCCATTCAAAGATCTCTAATGAACCATCAAAAAGCCAGAAGTGGAGCTGCGGCTCAAGGGGTTGAGCATTGGCCTTGAGTCAGAAAACTAAGTGACAGTGCCTAGGACAGGCCTGATTTCAAGCATCAGTCTCCCCAAACAGAAATAACAACAGCAATAACAACAACAAAACAAAAAGTGAAAGTTTTCACGCACAGATGAAGGTAAAAAATATTTATTGCATAGAAGTAGAGAGTAAAAGAGCAGTTACTAGGGGACAGGAAGGAGAGAGGGGAGGAAAAGTGAGCGGGTAACAATGGCCACCAAAGAGCAGCTAGGGTAACTATTGTCTATAACAATTATGCTTTCAAATCACTTAATAAGAAATGTGTGAAGGTCCTCATCAAGGAGGAATAATAACATATGAGGAGATGGGATTGTTAATCACCCTAATTTTATCATTATTAAATATGTACATTTATTGAATTGCAATGGTGTGTCCCATGAATTAATACAAGTATTATGTATCAATTAAAAAATAAAAAAATTAAGCTGGGTACTGGTGACTAAAGCTTGTAATCCTAGCTACTCAGGAGACTGAGAACTGAGAATCAGGGTTCAAAGCTAGCCTGAGCAGGAAAGTCCTTGGGACTCCTGTTTCCAATTACCCACCAAAAAAAAAGCAGACTAATGGCTCAAGTGGTAGAATGATAGTCTTGAGCAAAAGAGCTCAGGGACAGCACCCAGGCTTCAGGACCAGCACAAAAATCAATCAATCAATCAATCAATCAAAATCAATCAATACAATGTCAACATCACCCCAAACCTTGAAGACAACTGATCCATATGAATTTGCTGAAAAAAATTGTAGTAACAAAATTAA